CCGCAGGCTACTTTGCTAGGCTTTTCTTCGGATTTTGGAGGGCTCTGCTAATTTGTAGCCACCGTCTGCAGTATAGCCTGCAAAAGAAATGCGTATTATATAACCCTGATTAATAATTATGTCCATAACATCATAAGATTTGTTAGTCATGATTAACTGAAATACAAATGATAGGATCAAATTCTCTTCAGTCGTCATATGATCCTTACATCTTGGTGAGATTGGCTTATAGCAATGACGTTTGTGTTTTCCTATATTTATATACGCATGTTTATAATGTATATATTGTATATTTATTTATCGGTCTACCTTTCTGTGTGGGTGAGTGTGTACATGTGTATGTGTGTACGTACGTGTGCGTGTGTTAAATACTTGTTCTGGAACGTGCGCGCGCGTGTTTGTGTGTGTACGTGAGCGTGTGTATGTTCGTTCAAATATATATTACTCGAATAAATTTGTACATATATTTATGTGAACTTTATCATGAATGCAAGTTGCTGTTACCCCGTGTAGGTTACATTTCTAAGAATGCCACTGTATATATGCCATAAACGTAATGCCCTGAGTGACTCCCCTCGGCCCGCACCTGCAGGTTGACGGGAGGAGCCTGGCCGGCCTGAGCAACCACGCCGCGGTGGACGTGCTGCGGGCCACGGGACAGGTGGTGCGCCTCCGCCTGGCGCGCTACCTCAGGGGACCCAAGTACGAGCAGCTCCAGCAGGCCATCGCGAACTCGGAGCTCAAGACCACGCCCACCACGCCCAACCCACCCAGAGCTCAGGTGAGTACTTCTCCTCTTCTGCGCCTGTAATCATCACCCATTCCCCCCTCTCTCATACATCCGCCGGCGCGGGCGAGGAAGCCCCACAGCCACCCATCACCCTTCTTCAACTCCCTTGATTAGATGGGGATTAAAACCTGGCAGGTAATCCTATCCTTGACATGCATCTTAATTGATTTCTGTTTCGCCGTAACGCCTATGGAGATTGTCGTCTCCGGTGACACGGAGCGGGAGCGGAATCAAGGGTCTCCGTAGCGATAGAGACGTGGGCGGAGGGAGGTTGCGAACCGGTTAGCTTTGTAGGTAAAGTGTGTGGCTTTATTTACAGTTTCTTCCGGTGGTATTTATGTGAGTGTTTATGATTAATGATCTAAGTTTGCTCTGGGATAAGTTTATTTTTAAACTGTAAAGACCTTTTGCATTTTAAAGTAAGGGAGAGGAGATGTATATACATTTCAGATTTAAACTTGGAATAATAAATTACATTTGACAGCGCTTCCTTTATGCGCCATGCTGGATCTCGCGCGCATGCCAAACGTACGCTTATGCAAGTGCGCGTGAGTTGGGTTACATATGTGTGCGTATTTGTGTATGTTGGTGAATAAACCTACATGTGTTTGTATGAGTGCATACTATGCTTGAACAGGAGGGAGGCAAGAGAAAGGGGAGAGGGAGGGCGCGGTGGTAGGGATGGAGTGTAAGGGAAGGAATGTTTGTATACAGTGTGGAGGAGGTAAACCCGGGGAGTTTGTACACGCCGCCCCAGCCCTCTCATCTCTCCCCAGGCGCTCCCTCCTCCGCCCACCCTCCCCCTTCACCCCCTTCGCTCCCTCTTCCCCCCCTTCGCCCCCTCTTCCCCCGTGCGCTATCTCATATCCCATGCTCTTTTCTCCCCATTCTCTTCTTTCTCGTCTTTAATTCGCTTTTTGTCTCCTTTTCGCCTTCTTTCCGTTTCTTTGTATAAGGCCGAACCGGTTCTCTCCCCCCCTCTCTTCTCTTCTCTTCTCTTCTCTTCTCTTCTCTTCTCTTCTCTTCTCTTCTCTTCTCTTCTCTTCTCTTCTCTTCTCTTCTCTTCTCTTCTCTTCTCTTCTCTTCTCTTCTCTTCTCTTCTCTTTTCTCTTCTCTTCTCCCTCCCACATCCTCTCCCTCCTTCCCTCCCTTTTTTCTCATCTCTTCTACTTCTCTCTCTCCATTTTTATTCCGGGATCGGACAAATCTTTCTGGCAGTTACTTTTTCTTTCCTCAGACTTCCTTCTTAGTTCATCTTCCGCTTCAGTTCTTCCTTATCGATTTTTCTTCTGCTCTTTTGCCGTTTTTGCTTTGTCTTACTCAGCTTTTGTGTTGTTTTTAGTTTAGTTTTTATGTTATCGCCAGTTTCCACTTTTCTTTTTTTTTACCCTTCCGTACTTAATACCTTTTTTCTTCTTTCTTCTTCTTCTTCTTCCTCCTCCTCTTCCTCCTTCTCCCTCCTCCTCCTCCTCCTCCTCCTCCTCCTCCTCCTCCTCCTCCTCCCTCCTTCTCCCTCCTTCTCCCTCCTTCTCCCTCCTCCTCCCTCCTCCTCCTCCTTCTCCTCCACCTTCTCCTCCTTCTCATCCACCTTCTCCTCCTCCTCCTCCTCCTTCCCCTCCTCCCCTCCTCCTCCCCCTCCTCCTCCTCCTACTTCTCCTCCTCCTCCTTCTCCTCCTCCTTCTCCTCCTCCTCCTTCTTCTCCTCCTTCTT